CCGGAATAAGGTTATATTTATTTATACAAAAAATGAAAAAGAAGACGCAGCAAGCGGCGGCGGGCAGCGTCGAGCGGCGCCGCCGGGCGCACTTTATAAAATGAAATATAATGTAGAACATATTCTCTATTTAATAAAGTATACATTTTTTAAAAAAAAAAGAGCAAAGGGGCGCCGCGATTTAATGCGACGCGCTGCGATTCCTTTTCTTTTTTGTGTAAAGAAATGTAACCTTATTTTGGACAAGTTTACATAATATTGTTTGTTTTAATGTTTTGCAGAGTCGCGCCGTCTACCTGCGGTTGTCTGAGGCGACACTAAAACGATCTGTCTAAATCACCACGTAATGTTGGCTAGCGTGAAGCTATGATTAATCAGGAGTAACTATGTTCATTTCCACTGCCATCATAAATTGAAAGGTATGTTTTTTTTCACACGCACATAGCACCGCACTATGGAAATCCTGTAATTCGGGTGCCATGGACTCAAACATACCACAAATTACACTCAAACTCACGAGCAATAATGAAACTATGGAGTTTCCAAACATCAAGTAATAACAACATAAAAAAACGATTTAAAGCGCAAAGATGGCACTCACCTGCACTGACTGTATTTGACAGTTCGCTTTTTGGTTTAAGTCTTCCATTTTGGTCGTGATATGTTCTACTCTATCAGTTGTGTTTCTCACTCTTTCTTCTATAGAATTTGATAATTTAACTTCCTAAAAAAATATACATTTCTATTAATTATTTTAAAGACACGAGAAATAAGAACTTAAAAGTCACAAAATTTATATTATTAAATATCATGATATTTTTAATTTTTTGCTACCGCGATATTCATATTTTTTATTGTGAAAATACTTCACTAGTTTGTTTTTATTATTAATACAAAGTTTCAACAACATAAAGAAAAATTCTTCGATCTGTCTGAACTCGAACCAGCGTCTGTTGCTACACCGGGATCATCGCTCTTACCAACTGGGTTACAGACCGAGTCAGCAGACCTTGCGTATTTCGCATGTGCTTGTTGCAGATCTCTTGGTATTGAGTTTAAACTGCTTTTTGTCGTTAGTACCACTTGTGAGAAACTTATGAAAGTCAGTCTCAGGATCTTTGTATTAATAATAATTTAAAACTCTTAGAAACATTAAACATCTGTGATCTGCCAACGCAAGCAAAACCCAGTTTTTGGAATCACGTACACGCTTCGTGTAGTAAATTTCGTACGTATTATATTTATTTTTCTGTTATTTAATCAAATTGATCTTTTCAATATTTTCTTAGTCGTTTAATCATCGTTGTTCATTCCTCATTCCATAGTAAACTTGGGTTGTTTCTTTTGTTGAAAAATAATGGTTGGTCATATTCAATGTTTTTGAAAACTTTACACTGAATTTTTTAGTTCGTGTAATAAAATAAAGGTAAATTATTCTTCACTCTATGTTTTTTATTGCCAATTCTGAATTTATAATGGTAAAATAATGACCACCAAAAAGTTCACCGTTTTTTTGCTTTAAAGCAACAGAAATTACATCTGTAGCCCTTAGTTACAGGGAATCCATCGTAATGTTCTATAGTTTGGATTAGGAGATCGCGTTTATTTTGGTGGTGATATTTACGTCAATAACTATAAATTCTAATGGAATAAAGATTCCTTACCTGTTCCCTAAAATACCCTTCGACGCATTCTTCTTCAAAATCATACAAACGTTCCATGTCTTCCTTTTCCAAGAATAATTTCAGTCCGTTGTCATACTGTAACCTCTGATTGCTAACATTTCTAGTGATCCATTTACAAGTAGCATAGATGTGGCAGAAGATAATTAAAGGCGGTGGCAGTACAGGCTTCTGTTCATATTCCATGACCACTGTAAATCTTTGAAACATCCATACCTGTCAATGTGGAAGCAATTAGTTAATTGGAATGAATGAATAAATAGGTAACGATTACTAGACATAAGTAGTTAGTTATTAGAAAAGCGCTTTTGTTTCATAAAATGAATGAAAATCTATTAATTCTAAAGTACCGTCAAGTTGGTAAGTTTGAATTTCCTTGTAACTTTCAATAAAACTGATTTGAAAATACTTTTTTTTTTCTGTAAAAAAAATTATTGTTAATTGACAATTATTATTGATAATTGGATGCCGTCATAGGTTTTACAAAATGGCGTTTAAACGTTTTCGCTTGTTGTTGTTATTATTTCCTTAATGGCAGCCACTAGGCTTGGGCTAGTGTCAGTTTCGATGAAGGTTTGTTGTTAATGGATTTATGTCAACTTTTTTTAATATTTGAAGTTTCAAATAACTTAGCTTAGTTTCAACTACGATTTGTGAATTAACACGTTTTTGCTTATCAGCGTGAAACGGAAATACCAAATATTCTAGATGTCAAATGTGACATAACGTTGACAGTTATCGCAGTTTAACTGGTGGCCGCCATTAAGGAAGGAAATATTTAATTAGTTAAAGTTACGCGCCGTTTAACCAGTGAAAAGTGCTTAAATTTTTTTTGTACTCACTACTAACTCTGCATTCTATAAATTGAAAATATATCAGATGAAATGCATCGTATTACAAATAGACTTTCATATTTCTACAGGTTTCGTTCACTTCTAGTGGCTCTTGTTATGTGTGTTTGTAGAAAGGGCGGAAGCGCCATTTCGAAAATTTTTTTAGGGGAACATGTTTCAGGTTTTAACGACTATTTTATATTTATGTCCTGTTTTAAAATCCATTTTGGTTTTAATTAAGTTTAAGTTTTAAAATGAAATTTAAAACAGGGCGTAAATGTTTTAAAACTGTCGTGAAAAACCAAAACGCGCTCCACTGAAAAATTTTTATTAATGGCGCTTTTGCTCTTTCCGCTAAACACCGAGGACATGACTGAGTAGTATACGTATGTTGTGTAGTGCAATAATAATCTCAGTACAGAGTACTAAAAAAACGACCTCAAAAGTACGTGGAATTACATTTATTTCCCAAGTTTTTTTGAAATCGGTTACCGGAAAGTGCGCTAACTCGGATTCATCCCCTAGTTCGCCACTATACGGAACTTGACACAGGAGATAATAAAAATCGGTTCTCACTACTCAAAGTATATAGAGAGAGAAAAACGCCTCGAATTAGAGAATAGCAAAATCAACCATTAAAATAATTGGTCCTTATAATAAAATTTAGGCGCTATTTATAAAAATGAACCTCCATGCGTGAACAGCCACTCTTAGAGGTGGGTGGATATGGAGGTACCCTCTTTCCAAAAAAAAAGAATCATGAAAATCGGTGCACAAATATCGGACTTATCGCGTAACAAAAAAAAAACATACAGTCGAATTGAGAACCTCCTCCTTTTTTTGAACTCGGTTAAAAAAGATCCTTGAACCTATTTGTTTTAATAATAGACTATCACATGCAGATAAAATATTAAGGCGCCTTCAAATTAGACGCTTAAAGAAGCACTGCAGTGGCCACGACTCATTTTCATACATTATTTTAAAGCGTAGTTACTTTTGCGGTCACGATAAAGGACTATCCATACACAACAGGGCCGTGCCCGAGACGTGGGCAGGCCATGTTAGTTTGTATTAACTCCGGGCCCATCCTGGCGCGCCGGCCCGGATACGGACATGTGTGAACGAGTTCATACAAAATATACGCTGCGATATTTTGTGAGCCCCTGCCGGAGCGCGGCCCATCCATGTTCTGCACACGTCTCTGACGTGTGTGGATAGTCATTTAGTGAACTACATTACTGAAGTGCTATGGGCGCGCGGCTGCCGTGCCCCTCCAGCGTTTCTACATGAATCTAGTTTGAAGTCGCCCTTAGATTTGTATTCAATAATATTATAATTTCATGCATTGATTTGGTTTGGTTCAGAATCGTTTATAGGAATATCTGTAAGAATTATGATATAGAGAGCATAACTTAAGGGCACGTTTTACTCATATAATACATACACTCTCTTGCTCTACATTTCCAAGAACACGGAAAAATGTTTTTATAATGATTGAAACTAACTTTCAATAAGTAGATGAATAAACATCATTTATATATTATGAGTAAACCCACACTCCCTTAAGGAAAGGCAAATAATTAAGTATTGCTAAAATCCTTATTCCAAACCAAACCATTTCAAAACAAAAAAAGCAAAACAAAAGGAAAAATAAACACCTGATGCGAGATTTCATTGACTTCATTAAATATATTATTAAAGACAGCGATCAGCAAATTTATTAAAAGAATGTTGGCGACGAGTAGATACACGGTCATGGCGATTGGTGTGATCCAACGACCAGTCACGCATTTCGGCTGGTGAATATCTTTGCCGCATTCGGGGTCTATGTCAGGCGCAAACACTTCGCCGTACAGCATGAAGTATGGCTGGAAGAATACCTAGGGGCGGGGCAAGAAAAAAAATAAAAAGAAATTAATTGTGACCGACAAAAAGCAAAAAACTAATTAAAAATAATTATAACATTTTTATAAAACAAACCGACCTCAAAAGTTTGTGGAATCGCATCTATTTGCCAAGTTTTATTGAAATCGGTTAACGGAAAGTGGATGAAGTCCAATAAGTCGAATTCATCCCCTAATTTACCACCCTTAGAGGTGGAATATTTTGTTAAAATTTGAATGGAGCTACTGTTGAAGTACTCCCTTTCCAACAAAATAATAACCATTCAAATCGGTTCACAAAATGTCGAATAAATTGCGTAACTTACACAAAAAAACAATATAATCGAATTGAGAACATCCTCCTCTTTTTGAAGTCGGTTAAAAATAAGAATTATATTTAATAATTCCTGCCCCAAACAAAGGAAACATATCAAGAAAATTATATAAATTTGTATTGAAACAAAAAGATCTAAAATTAAAAAAGGTAGATCATTTTATGTAATCAGAAAATTATATCCTATAAAAATATAACGTAAAGTAAACAAAGTGGCAAAATCATAGGTAAAACGTAAATAAAGGACTTCAAACTGAAAAGAATCCAAATAAATTCAAACAATGGTCTAAGATGGTCGATAACAAAAGAACACGAATGCTTTTTAAATCCACAGCTTTTTCTTTATAGAGGATTCATCCACCGTAAGCTGTCTCTTCCAGTCTGGTCAAGTCTCGCAACAGGCTAAAATAAACAAAAGAAAATCTAGCAAGGACAACATCGATGATACAACAACTACGAAAACAATGGATTCGGTCTAGACGCTTCTATTTGATACGATTATGGCAATGAACCCGTGCTATACATTTTTGAAACTATTACGTATTTTTTGAAATTCTCATCTGAATATCTCTTCTGAAGTTATATATAATTTTAAATCAGCCATAACTTCAGGTAAAGTTTTCTCAATCAATCCGCATGTGTAAGTACAAGCAAATATATTGGCAAAAAGCTGACTTTTCCGAATTGGGGAGTCACCACACTTATCGACACGGAACTGCTTAAGCCGGTCAGAAAAATCGGTAAGTCCATGTAATAAGAGCGAAAATGACGTGCGTTCCGCGTCGGCCATCCTAGCGGAAACGAAATGCGCAACGTTTTTTTCGCTCTTTTTGCTCGGACATAAAAGTTTTTCTGACCGGTATATTGCGATTTGTGAATAAATGTGGTGAATCTCTTATGGAGTCATCGACGCATTTTGGTAAATTTCCACGATCTTATAACTACTAATAATAATATTAACAACGTACGTTTCTGACACAATTACGACACTGATAATAATACCAAATAGAACATTCTAGAACCAAACAGCCGAATATCGCAAACCTGATGAGAAACTCCGTTGACTTCAATGAAGATGTTATTGAACACGGCTATGAGCAGATTCACGAGCAGAATGTTAGCAATGAGCAGGTATATGCTCATGACCACTGGAGGGACCCAGTGTCCTACCCTGCACTCTTCAAGGCCTGGCAAACCACAAGGTGGAGCCATTTGTTCCGCAAACACTTCACCGTATAACATGAAGTATGGTTGGAAGAATACCTGTAAATGTTAGTAATGGTAGTCTCGGAAAAGCCTATGGTTAGTGACACTAGTGAAAACTCGTAATAATAAAACAAATTCCGAAGCTGTTGTCAATACCAAATAGTTGAGTTCAGATCAGATTTTCCCATCAATTGCAACGTTCTGCAGGCAATTACAACGGTGTTGAAGAAACTCTTAACGTTTCGATTAAAAGGTACTTATCGTCGGAAATAGTGCAAATCCGCGTATGTAGCATTGGTAAAAGGCATCTGCACTAAATCAAATTTTACAGGAAGGGATTTAACGTTGGTTGTTTACTTTGTTATTTCAATAGCTACGACTTTCATTTTTGCACAGTAAGCATTAATTTATGTTGTCTACGGACTGACAACAATAGATTCTCGTAAATCACGCTAATTTGGTTGCCATGACATATATACGCGGATATAATTTGGTCACTAAATTACCGAAATGGAAACTCATACTCCAATGCTATAATCCCCGACGTTTTTACAAAAAATAGTAGTAAATTAATTTGCTAGTCCTCGAAGCTAGTAAAGATTTGTAATCATGCAAAATAGTTTGAGCTTGTAGAATATTTTTTCATACAGTTATTTTCCTACAAGGTTATTTGAAAAATATTAATAACCTCGTAGGAGTATTTTACCAATGAAAAACTACTTTTGTTCCATGACTTTTAATAATTCATGAGATTTTACTTTCATACAAAAATATCTCTAACAAAAAAAAAGGAACAAGGATGAGCTAAGATGGGGCCGTCGGGGAGGACACTTGCATGTTTCACTACCTACGGCTGGTAACACATTGACTGTATGTTCGCAACCAATGCGTGAAGTTGTAATCAACTTCATGCAGCCGAGACCACGACTGCATGAAGTTGATAACGACTACGCATTAGCTGAATGCAGTCGATCTCGACTGCATGAAGTCGGAAGCCTGCCAAATACACATCTGAAAACTTATATTGCACAACTAAATCTTAAAAGTATATTTATCTTAAAAAATCTTGGAATAAAAATTTTTGTTCATGATGTTACTAATATAGTCCTGAGAGGTTGTTAGTATTTTACAAATATAATACTGTATAACACAAGCGGAACTATAGTTACAAACACCACCACCAACATTATACCTGACAAGTGTTTCGCCTCTCTACGAGGCACCCTCGGGAGTTGTTGATTGTTCAACGCTCGGTTGACGAAGAAAAAGAATGTGGAAAAATGAACTGTATAAAAAAATAATGTACACAAGCGCAGCTATTTTGCACGATTTAACTACTGGGTTTGCGAAGTAGCAAAGAAATTTACTTCCATTTCTATTAACATAGATTTCCGCAAAGTAATGCCTGAATCTATTAGTTACGTTTAGAGTCACAGCTTCAAGACTGCAAGGTAACGTCAGTTAAAAGTTGTGTGATACTCCATTAGAAAATGTTCATTATAACGCCAAAACTGATTTCAGTTAAATGATAAAAATACTCACTTCCCTGATGAGATACCAGCTAGCCTCCTTATCCGGATACAGTATAGCTTGTCGTGCTACACCAAATGACATTAGCACAACGAGTAATAGCACCACAAAGTATATCATATTCTTCACCATCTTACCCATCATCGTGACTAGAGGACCTATTGACAAGAAAATTGTATCAATTTAGAAGACAAATTATGTTTTTTTTTCATTATTTGTATTGCAAATTAGACATGCGCAAAGCAGTAAGCAGCTGTAAGTAAGTAAGCAGCTGTCTCGGAAAGTACTGTAATTTCAAACTACATTCCCGTAAAAGTAATATTACAGTGTGATATCACCATCACTGGCATCACACACACTAAAATGAGATGTGTTATAAGCATCACTCCGTATTTGTTTTGCTACTTAGTAATATTACTTTAGTAATATAAATGCGATCAATACGCGTAAGCTAGAGCAGAACAATAACACAGCACTATAGATAATTCACTATTAATAAGATTAATGTAACTGAAATAAAAATATCAAGCATCTACGAAATACGGATTTGTGTCGGGTGATGTTATGAGTGATTACTTAGTTTTTCAAAGTGATGTGTGATATCACATTACACTGACGCGTGATATAACAATTGTAATATTACTCTTATTGCTTATACGTCTCTATGCAAATTGAAGTCTAATAGAGATTAATTGCAAAATAGGTTTACTTATCATCAAGAAAACTTAATTAAGTCTAACTTTTGGTTGAATGGTACTTGCAAAAGCTCTAGATAGACAAAATTAATCAATCAGTTATTGATTGGAAGTTATAAACCAGAAAGAGGCAAGTATAATTAATCAAAATCAGAGCCCGATTAACTCCGGCTCCGTTCCAACAGTTGTGCACTGAAAGCCTTTTTTATTTGGCTCTTGTGTCTCAGCGATTAGCACTGTTAGAGTTAGACAAGGACGTCCCGGGATCTATTCCCGGTAGGACCAATTTGGGACATGAACTTTTCTAAATTGATTCTGTTCTGAGTTGTACACCGGAGTTAATTCCATTGCTCAAGTGGTCGTAATACAGGGTATTCAACTATTTGAGACCAGAGTCCCAAGTCTACTAATTTTCCTGAAACCACTGGTCATTGTAATTCCATTGAGACTCCGCTGAGATTATATTGCAAGTATGATAATATTTGATATTCTGGTAAAATCTAATTGCAATGGCAGTTGAGTCTCACCCGTGTGTCGGTAAAATGGCAGTAATGGCAATCATAGAATCACTAGTTATCGACGTTGCCTTACCTAAAACCATTATGAATTACTGTGCATATCTTAATTCTTATCTCGTTTAATCAGCAACCCGTTTTTAAATTAAATGTATTTTTATGTCACATAATCAGTAAACTACGCCATCGACGTGCCATTGTACAGTAGAATACCGAAAAATGCAAAGGAAGTTGAATACTAGCTCGAATTGCTAGCCACTGACAAGCTAAACTACTTTTAAGTTTTAGCAGAATAACAAACGCACAAAATTCTGCCATCGACACTCTATCGACCCCCTACTGAGATGATTTAAAATTAGCAGAATTGGGGCCCAGGTTCATTGGTGTGGTTATCTGGCACATCATTATTATATACTTTCGGACACATTATGCGAGCCACCGTGTATTTTTTTCTTAAAGGCCTAATATTTTTGTAAGCAGTAGAGCTCCTTGTGAAAGAGTTCGTACAGGGAAGTACTGCCACCTTACCTATTTCTGCCGCCAAGCAGTAATGTTAGCATTACTGTGTTCCTGTTTTGAAGGGTAAGGGTGCTGGTGAAATTACAGGCACATGGGACTTGTCAACTTATGTCTCAGGGTGATGGGCGCAATGGCAGTGCCCCTCAGATCTTTGCGATTTGAAGCTCTGAGTGGCACTGCAACTGTTATGGACAGGCGTGTAGCTTACCATGAGGCGCACGACTTATTCGTCCCGTCACTTGATATTATAAAAAAAATACTGTTATCGTCGAAGACGAAAAATTCCCCGGTTTTACAAATTAAAATTTTCTTTTTCCTTTTCTTTCTTATAGACGCTTAGTATACCAGTTTCAAAATTATACAATTTTGGATTAATTAAACTTTATAAGCTTTGAGCATTTAATACTGGAAATGCAAGGTAGCTATAGTTATGCATTTTTTATTAAGATAACAAGTGACGGGACGAACAAATCGTGGGTCTGGTGGTAATTGACACGCCTGTCCAAAATAGTTGCAATGTCATTTAGAGCTTTAAAACGCAAAGATCTGATTAGCACTGCCACTGCACCCGTCACTTTGAGACATAAGTTGACGAGTCCCAAATGCCTGTAATTTCACTAGCACCCTTACCCTTCAAAACTGGAACGCAGTAATGTTCACATTACTGCTTAGCGGCAGAAATAGGTCGGCAGTACTTCACTGGACGAACTCTTTCACAAGGAGTTTTAGGAGTACTAAACTTGAGTGTCCGAGAGAGTATATTTAAAGACGATGCATGCATCTCACTTGAGAAAGGGCCTATTCACTCTCACCTCGAATAGGCTCTTTAAAATATAAAACACAGAAGAAAAATCTTACCTAAGTACTTATTAACGCCGAGAATATTGAGTATCCTTAAATACCAGTAGATTATATCAACGCAGTAGATGACGCGGCCGATGTCCATCGAAGCGGTACGTAGGCGCAACGTCATACCGACCAGGAAGAATATTATGAAGCCTGCGTCGTATGTGTTCCACATATTCCATGCCCACACACTGAACTTATGTCTGGAAGAAAGAAGAGTTATTAGCGATTGGTAGGTTTTCATTATTGCTGCATATTGGAAATGAAACTAGTTTCAACCGACGTCGAATAACCGATTTCGATGATTCTTTTTTGTTGGAAAGGGGGTACCTCAGTTTTGGTTCCATTCAAATTTGAACAAAGTATTCCACCTCTAAGGGTAGCAAATTAGAGGATGTATCTGGTTTATAGGATTTCACCCACTTTCCGTTAACCGATTTCAATAATAATTGGCAAATAGATTAAATTCCACAAACTTTTGAGATAATTAAAAAAAAAAGTTATTTCGGATATTTTTTCTTTTTATGGTACAAGTGACGGGCTGAACGAGTGGCAACTGCGTGGTGGTAAGCAACTGTCCGTAACAGGTGCAAAGCCACTCAGAGCTTTAAACCACAAAGGGCACTGCCACTGCGTCCGTCACTCTGAGACATAAGTTAACAAGTATGCCTGTGATTTCACCAGCACCCTTACCCTTCAAAACCGAAACACAGTAATGCTTACATTACTGCTTGGCGGCAGAAATAGGTACCTATGCTGGCACTACTTCCCTGGACGGACTCTTTCACAAGGAACTATACTGCTACTGCTATATCACGACTGACTGAGATGGTAAAGTCATCAATCAGTTATGTCTAACATTAATGCAAACCAACACACTATAGTTACAAAGGTTATTATTTAAGCACCTTATTTTTAATTTACTTAAGAGCGTTCCAATTTGCGCTAAATAATATAATATAATCTATATAACTGCTTCCGTGGCCGGACGGTTACCATGTCGGACTGCCCCGTAGAGTTCCTAGGTTCTAATTTAATATTTGTATGGCCCACATTTATTTCTCTCGTGGGTTTGGGTGTAATTTGTGGTTGTCCATGGCACCTGTGACTCAGGGTGTTCCTAGTGCGGGGCTATGTTGAGTATGTGCGTTGTTTATTTATTTATCTTTGTGGATCTAATATAAAGAACACGGGACCTGTAAAAGGTTCAAAACGTTTTGGTTTGTTTGAAAAACAAATATGTATATGCGATTCAGATCCGAAAACATAATATAATTTTCAATAAGAGATAATCCTTATTTTGGTACAGATGGTTTGTCACACGATTAGAAAGAACCTTTGTTTGTCGTAATCACTAAATAAATTTACACTCGTTTAAAATAATGCTATTTTAAACGAGAAAAGGCTCCTCTTTCAATAAAAAATATGGAATACATTCTCCAATTTAGGGTTTAGGTAACACCAACTGGGCATAGATTTACCAATCCAAATACGCAGCTCCATAAATCATTACCATTGTTTACGGACGGGTAGACTGATAATCGATACAGAGTAATTGATTTAGAGCTTTGCTGGATATTAGCCTAGTTTAAACATTTTGCATATATACAGGTCGATTATTAGGAAGGCTAAATAATGTTTGTTGATAAATATACAGGCTCGACATTTGAAGTAGGGAAAGCGATATACTTAGCAAGTGAAAGACATTTCATCTATAAACGCCTTCCGGTGTTACATAATGAATGGACCTTCATTAAAAAGGGTTATAGCCATTTTAAACACTTAGGACACTATGTTGTCGACGACCTCAAAGATTATGTTTTTTTATTTATTTATATTCAGATTATAAAGACCCGTAAATACATACCTTATAAACTAATATACATAACAATATAATAAAACACTAATTACTAATTATTTACACTTATTATTGCCTACGATGTGTGATGTAACGTGGGTGTCCGGTGGCCGGCCTCGGAAACGTGGTACATGACACCCTTCGGCCAAAATTCCTCCTTCATGAAGGTCGACAGATGTTGAGTTGGTACTCTCACCACAAATTAATGAAAAATTCACATGGACATGGATATAGAGCGTGAGCGCAGAGCACTACCAGTGAGAGCAAACGTGCGCGCTCGCAGGTTCACCAAATGTACTGTTGCAGTAAAGATTACGGTCTTTAGAACTTACTGCACATCACTGTGCGCTGGTGTTCTGTGGACGAGGTGCACTTAGCGCTCTCTGAATGCTCTGCGTGTGCAGTATAATGACGCCTTCAGGGCGTTGTTGAGGTTGTCAAGTTTCTGCAGTGCCTCAGCCATGTTCGCTGATGCGCGCGTAGACAGTTTCTAAATCGTTACTGAACAGAAAACGTGTCAACCCCAACAGCCTCCTAAAGATCATTGCAGAGAGGAGTGCCCAACATTGCAGCACTTAACAAATATTACGAAGTACCTGGCAGTATATATGTACTAACATAGTTTTAAGTCTGTACTAGTATTTTTATGGATCTCATTTATTATTTCGCATCCCTCATGGAAGAATGGCATATGGGGAGTTACGTCAAAAACTTTTATTGCTGAATTAGATACAGAAAAATATATCCCACCTCCTCTCCGATTCTTGTAACTCTATCGACTAATATTGTAAATACAGTTACGAGAATTGGAGAGGATGTGGTTTATACGTTTCTGTATCTAGTGAAGCAATAAATATTTTTGACGTAACTCCACTCATGCCATTCTACTATGAGATGTGCGATTTATTGGTATTATTTATTTCGTTCAATGCCAATTATAAATAAAAATGGAAGTAAATTTGTATTTTTTTTGTAATATTATGTGACGGGACGAACAAATCATACGTCTAATGATAATAATAATAATAACGCACACACTCGACATAGCCCCGCTCTAGGGAAACCCTGTGTCGCGGGTGCCATGGACACACACATAGACAACCACAAATTACACCCAAACTCACGAGAGAAATAAATGTAGGCCATACACATATTTCTCCCGGCCTGGGAATCGAACCCAGGACCTCTGCATGGTAGTTCGTCATGGTAACCGTTCGGCCAGCGAGGCAGTTAAAAAATGGTAAGCAACACGCCTGTCCATAACAGTTGCAGTGCCACTCAGAGCTTGAAATCGCAAAGATATGAGGGGCACTGCCACTGCGCCCGACACTCTGAGACATAAGTTGATAAGTCTCATGTGCCTGTAATTTCACCATTATATGCTACTACGTCTAAGTCGCGCAAAATAGCTACGCTTGTGTTGAATATTTTTTCTTACATTTCATTTTCCCACCCTCTCGCCGCATAAAGTTAATAACACAAGCGCAACTACAGTCACAGGTACTATCACCAAAAACATCCCGACACGAGGCATCATCAGTGGTTACTGATTTTTCGACACTCGGCTGAATGAAGAGTTCGTTCAGAACTGTTGGTGATATTTATACCTCACTACCCCCAGTGTAACCTTTGTTAAAATTTGAAAATACCCACAATAACGGTAATGACGCTACGTTCAATTGTTCTCGGAGTAGCAAATTAATTTACTTCAATTTTTATTAAGATGGATTTCCGCAAAGTAACACCTGAATTTATTAATTGAGACGCAAGTTGGAGGTTGATGTTCTTTAATTAAAGTGATGAATCTCGTTATATTGATTCATATTCATGATTTATTTGTGACAAAAAACAGGTGGCGTAGAAGTTGACATGTAATAATCTCAGTACAGAGTACTAAAAGAACCGACCTCGAAAGTTCGTGTAATTACATCTATGTATTTGCCACGTTTTATTGAAATCGGTACCCAAGTTCGGGAAACCGGATTCATCAATATTTTCTTCAAATTTAAATAGGACTAGTACTGAGATACCCTCTTTTCAACAAAAAAATAATAATCAAAATCGGTTTATAAAATTATCGCATAAAAAACAGTCGAATTGAGGACCTCCTTCTTTTATTTTAAAGTCGGTTAAACAAAATATATCGCACCCTCGGTGTAATAAGGTCATATCAGCGAAATAACAACTTTTCAAGAGAGAGATTTAAAGATTCTACGAACGAAATTAGTCGATAACTTTTTATGCTTATATAGGAGAGTTGTAAAATTTCACATGAATACGTAATTAGTTTCATGTCGTTTGTATTATTTTTATGACTTTCACATGATAAAATAATCAATATTGACGTAGGTTCATATGTGGCTCTATTATATCAAGGATATTAAGTATTGTTTTTATACTGAAGGTACTTCAATGGACTAAACTAGGTGTAACGTGTTCTTTTTTCATAATATCACATTGACACCCATGCATCTAATAAGTCGGTCAATAATTTGAACGCGATGTCAGTTAACAGTCATTCTTGGACCAGTGTTCACTATATAATTTCCGTGGCAATTTTTATAATTTGATTATTCGATTTTTTTATCATGAAGTATTATTTAATAATTATTAATACAAAGATCGAACACTCAGAAAAAAATCCTTCGATCCGGTCGGATTCGAACCGACGTCTTGTAGCATACCGTCCCAGACACTATAACAACTAAGGCACGGAACGAACCAGCGGACCTCACGAATTTTTCTGTGCTTGTTGTCGTGGTTTTGTATTTGGTGTTTTCAACGACTTTTTAGCCGTAGCGCCATCTATGAGAAATCTTAAGTATTTCGTCACCCAAATAGACACCTTTACAGCTACCAGCCCTGACTAGAGACGTCGCTCTTAATTCGTAATTATTAATACAAAGATCGAACACTCAGAAAAAAGTCCTTCGTTCCGGCCGGATTCGAACCGACGTCTTCTAGCATACCGTGCCAGACACTATATCAACTAAGCCATGGAACGAACCAGCGGACCTCACGAATTTTTTTATGTGTTTGTTGTGGCTTGTATTTAGTTTTTTCAATGATTTTTAGCCGTATTATTTAATAATTGAGTATTTAAATAATGAAAATTGCCACGGAAATTAGGTACTGAACACAAGTTCGAGAATGACTGTTTTATTTGGGTGTAGGTATCAAATAGATATACTCGTAACTTTAAAGTTAAGTTATGGTGAGATCCATTGAGCATCTAGATCATTTTAGTTATTAAAATTTAACGTAGTCAGTTATAATTAGAGATCGAATTCTCCATGTATTTCCAAATTGTTTTCAAAGTAGAGAAACGGTTTCTTAAAATATACTTATTATGTCTTCTCTTGAATACTGGGATGACGGAATTAATTAAGATTTTTGATCACTATAAATCTTAACGGCCTGATGATGACCAGGAATATGTCAACAGGATTTCAGTACTCCATCGTGTTAAACCAAAACACTAGAAGGTTCAATACTGTGTTTTGTAATATCAAAGAAAAAGAAATGCCGAAATTTTTCGATAGAAATAGCTTATTTCGTAAAATATAATTATAATGGCTTGATAGAAAAATATATTTGTTAAGTTAAAAAATGACAAAAAAAAAGAAAAACCTTTAACGCGGGTTTTTTTAAAACGCTCTTTTTGATATTACAGTATATACTATGGTTTTGGTTTCACACGGTAGTATTATAAACAGCTAGATGTGCCAAATTTAAAATTAGATGATTTACCGAAACCGTCATACTATAGGACGGTTTCGGTAAAAAATGATTAATTCTATTTAAAATGTTCTTGATGTTCTATGTTTTTAAAATAATAAAAGTTAATTTAAATGTTACATAAAATTACAAATAACATTTGGAACGTTTGTTTATATTTCTTGCAATTTTATCTCAGTGTCGGGATTTTTTCGAAAAGCGCACTTTACTGGGTGAAATCGTTAAGTGTGCATAAGCGATTACGCAGAAAATATAACAAATATCAGAAACTTTAAAACTGGTATCGAAAGTAAGTTACCTAATAAATACAACGACATAATTAACAAATTAAAATAAAACTACAAAACTCCAAAATTTTAACTTTATACGTTCTACGATGACATTAGTGGAGATGCTTTAGTTGATCTACTTTATATGCTCTAAATAAAGTAATAAAACTATCTTTTAGTTGAATAAAAACGAAATGATGTTCATTCTTAGGTAAGTAAATACAAAATGTTGTTTTCAAAGCAGTTCTTCAAAACTAATAGGTTTTTGATATTTCTTATATTCACAGAAAAATAGCCTGTTAACGTTTACACCCTGTATGTTAACGAGCAACTAAATAAAAAATCCGACCACTAATTATAATGTAACTAGATAAACTTATATTACTTACCTAATAGCAACTGGTTCGGACGTGACGATTTCCCTTATCTTCTCGCATAGGAAGGTTAAAATATAACAAATAGAATATATCTCCGGCCAAGACGGTTCTATCACCATTTTGACTAATACTGTGTACGTGAACATTAGTAGGAACAATATGTAGGCGATCTGAAATAAGAACATTACTTAATTACATTTAAATGAGAAATAGAAGTGATAACAGTCTATCAGCATACCGGACAGATTAGACACAATGTTTGTTTTTTTCTTTTAATTATATGTTTTTAATTTTATTATTAATTATTATTGATTTTTTTATAATATAAATTGACGGGGCGAACAAATCGTGCGCCTGACGGTGAGCGACACGCAGTGACACTCAGAGCTATAAATCGTAAAGATCTGAGGGGCACTGCCACTGCGCCTGTCACCCTGAATCATGTAAGGTACAAGTCCTATGTGCCTGTAATTTCACCAGTACACTTACTGTTAAAAACTGGAACTTAGCAATGCTGACATTACTGCTTGGCGGCAGAAATACTTAAGGTGACGTTAAAAGGTACTTCTCTGGATGAACTCTTTCACAAGAAGCTCTACTGACACCAAATTATGTAATACTATTAACTAAACAGCCACAGCTCAAGAAGTCATCAGATCTTACGAATTTCTCCATGCTGCGAATTTTTGTATTCGGTTTTTAAACGGCTATTTTGCCGTAGCGCCGCCTACGTCTGTGTGAAATCATTATGTTAATCAGTAAGTTTTGGTTTTTTAATTTGAGGTTTCAAATTGGCAAATAGTCAGACGTTCCTGCTGATAGAAAGTGGTTTTTTTATGATACTGACGGGACGGGAATGACGGGACGACCTGTCCATAACAGTTGCAGTGCCGCTCCAAGGGCACTGTCGCTGCGTCCGTCACCCTTTTTTTTAGACGGGGGGATATCTTTATGGATACCCCTGATTCCAGGGAGACTCAGGGGTTATGTGGGGACTCTCCCTCCAGACTGGAGGGCCTACCCTACTAAAACCCCCCCGGGTTTCCCTTTCGCCGGTTGAGTCGGCGCCGTGGGATCGGTGAACATTCACCACGACGCCGTCCGGCCCTAGTTTACGCCAGGGCTCCCGCGGCAACGGAGGGGCGAGTCGGTTGTCCTCCGACCCGCCCCCCAGACGAGTGAGACATAAGTTAAAAAGTCACATGTGTCTGTAATTTCACCATTACCACAGTATTTTTCGACAGAAAGGAAGTGCCCTTGATGTAGCAAATACAATACCGGCTGTAGGACATAGGTGCGATCTCCTGTATATCCTTTAATGTAAGGTTCTAGCCGACACACACTTAACACGCGTCATCGCGCGTTAACGCGTGTTGGAACGTCCAGATGACGAGAAACAACCTCATCAGTGCCTATAATTTTAACCGCGTATTTGTGGCGATAACGCGCGTTTTGAAGTATTTCCTCTGAACGCAGCGGTATTGCACGTTAACTTGCGGTACTACGCGTACATAATATGAACAAATTTACGTAAAATATATGAATATCTAGACGCGCGGTTTGAAAACGAGCGTAAAATTTATGTCATCTGAATTTAGCGTACGAGTATTGAGGAATGCACCATATACTCTTTGCGGTAAAAATAGGTAGGATGATGGCATCTCCCCAAGTGTCATGGATAGACAGCCCCCTTCATCTGTTTGGTTCCTCCCCTTGCTCTAATATTACTTCGTACGGCTTTTTCGCCTAATATCCAACATAATACCTTTATGGTTCTCTAAAATCTCCCAAGCAGCACATAAGGGATTTTATAGTATTCACCATTACTTTTTATTAATGTCGAAGGTGAGATAAAAGACTTAAAATGCGTCCGGTATCGATTATCACTTAGGGAAATAGGACAGGTCAATTGTACTGAGGATCCATTAGTGTGATAGGATTCAGTTCTTCAACAATAGAACAATTGGTGCGTTAAAAAGGACTTTTATATTTTGTCTTTAAAACATACATAATAAGTTCAAACATGATATACTGGATAAAGTTAAAATTACAATTTTAATTCGTTTATTTCCAGTACTTCCATGTATACTCAGGCCCACGTGGAATTTGTAACCCAAAAGTTCCATACCTTGAACTAGTGCGAACAAATTTAATGTTTTCATCTTTATTCTCATTAGTCACATACGTGAGAGATTTCTAAAGCTGCACATCATTTTTGTAGTTTTTACCATTTCTCAAATGCGATTTGGAGAGGCAAAAAAATGACTGTTGCCTCCTTTAAATTATTTTAAAAGAAACGTTTACTATTCAACCACGTGTCTGATAGGTGACTAACAGTACTGGTAGCCGTGAAGCTTCTTCTTCTTCTTCTTATCGTGTCTATGCATCTTTTATGTTAGGACAAAAATGGACTTTGTGGGGGTGCAGTTTCATTCCTTTCCTGTACGTCTGGCGCACCTTGGGTAACTTGGATGGTGGTAAGCATCATTGTGTATACCATCGATAAGAAGATTGACTTTGAAAAGTATGTTGCCACCTTGAGTGCGCTATCCGTTCTCGCTTAGAGATCTACGGGGATCTACTTTCTTTCTCCATCCGTTATCTGTCCGAAACAATTACTGTCAAATAAGTTAATCAACTACCTTCGTGGCCGAACAGTTACCATGCTGGACTGCCACGCAGAGGGCCGGGAGAAATATTTGTATGGCCTACATGATGGTGCGTTTGGGTATAATTTGAGGTTGTATATGTGTATGTCCATGGCACCCGCGATACAAGGTTTCATTAGTGCGGGGCTATAAGTGTGTACGCGTTTATGTTATTAACAAGTGTCGCCATTTCTGAGGTTCGATCCTCGGCCGGGTCAATGTAGAAAACTTTTCTATATTCTTTCGGATCTGGGTGTTTGTGGTAACGTCGATGTTTCCGATTTCCACAACATAAGTGCTTTACTTACTTACTTTTGGATCGGAGCAACGTATGTTATATTGTCCAATATATTTATTTACTTTACTAATGGCATTAATATCCTAATCACAAATACGTGAGAACACATTATACCCACAATACACGCCCAATCCATTTGAATGTTATTACGCACCAACCCACCTATTCCCCACACCACGCATTCATTACTTTTGATTTTCACTTGGAGTTCATTTTATATTTTCATCGGACGAAGTGGCCTCATTGTCATTTATACGGCTCCAATGAAAATCAGCGTAACGAGGCGTTTTCCGTCTTGTTACAAAAAGCTGAATGGAGGCCATTTTGGTAACGTTTTAAATGTAATTGTTGTTTTTATTTTGTTTTTTATATACCTCCATAATTTTAGTTTTTCTTTTTTATCATTTTGTCATTTTACCTATGTAAAACCAATAGGTGTCCTATAGGTAGATAGGTAGAATAGATAGGGGTGAAACATTAAACTTGGTGCCAAATAAAAATAACGATGAATAAAGGCTTTTTCAAACTGGAGAGTATTCAGATGTAAAGCGCCTGACACAATTAGATGAATTTGCTGTGTATAAACAAACAAACATATAATTAATCGATAACCCTAAAATGCTTTACAGTATAAATTGTGACTGTTAAAATATAAATTTATTTCGAACGAACTAACGAATTAATTTTTCATTTGTGGTCGCGGTGTATAAAAATGTAAAGCAAAAATTATTCTAATGATGTGAAGGTTTTTCGAAAATCGCTTACTAGATGTCACTAGTAGCGACGAAATGCCGAAAGCCAGTACAAAGATCTATAACGAAATCACATTGGAGAATTTCGACTTCTCGGTAACTTAAGCTGTCGCTCAATTGGTAAGAGCAATGCTACGATGCAGCATGGTCGTGGGTTCAAGTCTCACCGATCAAAGAAATTTTTCTGTGTGTTCGATCTTTGTATTAATAATTATAACAAAATCAATCAATTTTAAAGTAAAAACAAACGTATTTTAGGTACTGCTTGGGATATATTTGTCTTTGTGTTTTTTTGAACAGTCATAAGCTATACTGTAAGGTATTTTAGGCTTATCTATTCATTACCGGACACCAGCAAAATATACGTCCAGCAAAATGTTGACTTCCAAAACTAATTAACATAATCCGTGTGGTTTAGGGAGTCATCTCACTTAATGACGCGAAGTCGGCTTAAGCCGACTAGAAAGGGCTTTATATCCATGCTAATAAGATCGTAAACGTCGACCGACGACGGGATTCGCCACAGACGAAACGTACGTGCTTTAAGTTTTTATTGCATGGACATAAAGGTATTTCTAACTGGCTCAAGCCGATTCCGAGTCAACAAGTGTGGTGTGTCCTTAAAACACTGTCTTTAATTAAGGTAAATAAGTTTTAATGGAGTTGTTTTTAATTTTACTTACCGAATCAGCCCAAAACTTGGTAATAGGTGCCGTGAAGAACTCATAAATCTTCTTTCTCAGTCTTAAAGGTCTCATTCGTTTGTCTTCTGGCGCGTGGTACTCCGGCCACAAAGGCTCCCAACCGATTTTACCGACCTTCCCATTCTGATCGACTCGTGTTTCACATTCGGCCCCTGAGCCAATCAACGCCTGCTTGAGTCGAGACAAAATCGTCAAATGTTACAACTACTTTCACACGTTAAAAGCGTAACGCCGGATTTACATTTGTCTGACGTGTCGTGACGCGATGCGTCAGAACAGTATCGGTGTCATACACACAGCACGAGCCGTCACGTCAGATTGCGACACACTAATATAAATCTATGAAATATTTAATGTTATAGTAAATATATGAAACCGATACCGTTCTGATGCATCACGACACGACACGTCAGACAAATGTAAATTCGGCTTAACAGACGAAGTGATCTGGTTCGTGCTATAATAATACAAATATCATAATTTACTTGCTCTTTGTGTATGATATGTGGACGACACCAATTCCTAGGTCTTTAACTAGGAAATTCTTTGTACTGTCCACACCCAGACCGGAACCGATTTAGAAAAAAATATTTCCCAAATTGGTCCTACCGGGAATCGAACCCGCGTTAACCAGCGTCCAACAAACATCTTTAAAGACAACGGCTATTTCCAGTTGTCTTTATATAGATATAATACACCGCGGACACGATGAAATTTTTTCTCTGCTGAGTTTTCACACCTATGAAATTCAATTACACGTCGGACAACAAAATATTATTTAAGAGGTAATCCGATATACGGCACCTGATCCTTTCGTCTATTACGCCTTTTGCTTATAAAAATATATATAAAAATAAATAAAGGAAGTTATTGTGTTAAGCATTACGTCAGAAGTTAGAAAGAGCTTTCACCGAAGCAGATAATGATTAGTAACACGAGCGAAGCGATTTAATATTACATAAACTGTTAAAAAACGTGCGAAGTGTCAATAAAACTTATTCTGCTCCAGTAATAGATCAAAACACAGACTTTTTAGTACAATAAGCACAATTTGAAGCCTTTAGACAATAGACGAGACAATACAATACACTACAATAGACAATACACAAGTTTTTACGTCATAGAGAATAATAACGCTTTAAAAGAAAAGAAGATACTTTTTATACAGTGATAGACACAGATAACAGGAGATAATAATATTAAAATTCGTTTTTAGAAACGATCGCTTTTATGTTTGAAAATATTATGTATTTGTCGATGTTTTTTGTCTTTACAATAATCTAAATCCGCAAATTTTTTTGTTTTACTATTTAGCCGGCGCCTGTTTTTTATAAACACAACGAATTCTAATAGAAAACATAAAAGTTTTGAGAAATTTTTTACTTAAATAAACAATTTTAGATTTGTAATATTGATTGCAATGAATATTATGGGGTTTTACTACTATCATATTAATTCAATTGTTGTGAAATCGCCCCATTTGTCTGTTATTTATTATTCATACAAAGATCGAACACAAAGAAACATTCCTTCGATCTGACAGATTCTTTCAGATCGATTTTCTTTATATTCTAGCTTTGTATTAATAATTTTAGATTTGTAATTTTCTAATTGTTTTTTTCATGATACCAAGTGACTGGACGTACAAGTCGTGCATCTGGAGATGACAATACTGTCGATAGCAGTTCCAGTGGCACTTAGAGCTTTAAATCCAAAGATCTGAGGGGTACTGCCGCTATGCCCAGCAACTTGAGACAAGTTAACAAGTGCCTATAATGTCACCAGCACCTATACTCTTCAAAACCGGAACCCAGTAATGTTCACATCACTGTTTGGTGGTAGAAATACCTAAGGTGGCAGTACTTCCCTGGAGGAACTCTTTCACAAGGCACTCTACTGAATTCTTTTTATAAAGATAAAATAAAACTGTTGTATATATGGTGTAAATCATTGTAGGAAGCCAGTTTGTAGACGCAATATATAACGCTAGTTAATTAAACACAAACGTTGGTTTACGACGCACAAGCTCTGGAGTGTCGTCGTCATAAAATTGACAATTTCGCAACAAGTTTGTCAAGATAAGCTTTATTGTTTAGTTGTCTATAATATGCTTTGGCGGTGTAAAAGGGACATACTTCATTTTGAATCAAATGTTTTTAGCTATAGGTAGAAAAGATAAAGTCTTATAAGATTTTTGAAGTACACTAAACTTGCCTTAGTTTATCAGCTTTACGTGTTTTAACAATTATTACGCTAAATTTAATGCTTATCATGTATTTTTAGAAAACGCGCAAATAATTTGCTAACGTTTCTCTTACCCCTAAAGATGGGGAGAATTATATATAGTCCCTATATCGAAATATTACTACAAACTCACAAGTATAGATAAAGCACGCTCATTGCCTTACAACTGTTGACTGCGAGTATAGCTGGTAAAGTCGTGAGGCGGTCGCGCCGACTGTATCAATACTATTTGCCTACTGCATACAAATTGCTATTTTGCCGTTGCAATGTAAATACTCTTTTTTTCGTCAAACACAAAACTATGATTAGATTTCTATTTAACAATAATAATAGTTAGCCTATACGTAGTCCATTGTTGGACACAGGCCTTTGTTCACAATGGCAGGGCTTGGGTTGTAAGTTTCCACATAGGAGGGAACTTCACACACGTCAATAAATTGCGTTACAGATGCGTGTAGGTTTCGTCACGATGTTTTCTTTCATTGAAAAGCTCACGGTAAATTTCAAATTAAATGTCGCAAATAAAATCTGAAAAACGCAGAGGTACTGTCCCGGATATATGGCACTCGAACACACGTCCTCTGGTTGAGAAGCGGTAGGTCATACCACTAGGCTACCGAGGCTTATGACTGTCCAAAGTAAAATAAATCTAAAAGTAGGTTCGATAATAAAATTGTCTAAAACAAACAAACGTGTCTTCTTTAAAAAAATAGGATTCTATTACACTATACGTCGTGGAAATACGTAATCACATTAAATCAAACGTGAAACCTCGTTTAGTTAACGGCCGGCTGCGGCTCGCGCTGTCCGAGCCGAAGCGACGCGACCCACGTCGTTTGCACCCTTATTACATACTACCGACAGAAATATTTTTCTGACCGGCTTAAGAAGATTCTGAGCCGACTATTTCCGTGGATCCTGTATAAGATGAAGAGTCATAAGGTCTCGAGGAAATCTTTGACAGTATAGATAGATAGAGATAGTGAACAGAGGTCAGTATAACCACCTAAGACCCAAACTAAGACTAAAGTATAATGAGGAAACCGCTGTACGCAAATGTGTTCCAAAATTCACACAAGAAGTAATTTTGATATTATAAACTGCCTCCGTGGCCGAACGGTCACCATGCCGGACTGCCTACTTTCAAAGTTTGCATTGCAATACATTTTATCATGCACTTATAATGGGGAAATTATATCGGTTTCTCAAGTTTGTATTCATTAGTAGTAATACATTGAAATGATAATGTCAGTTGTTATGGGCGAGGCAAAGTCAGAGAAATGGCTATTCATTTCCCTGAACAAAATTTTAAAGTAAATGTTAAATTTCATGGTCTTCCTTTTATTTAAGATACTATATTAGTTGGAAGAAAATAATCCTCATGTTTGAGGCTTTTGATCAGTATAGTAAAATTACAGGTGTTTTTCTTTCACATTTGGCGGGTTAGATTCCCGGTTCTAACAGTAAAATTTTGTATCTACGGCATTTAAGGTACTTTTCCCCGTGTGGCACAGCCGTGGGTCACCCTGTATATGTTTTGCTGTTGGTATACCTTTTTATAAAAAATAAAATAAAAATAAAATGCCAACAAGCCCACGACCATCCACCACCGCCTTGAAGGAGGAAATCGAGCGCTGTGTCGACGTGATTCAGCCTCAGTAATACAAAATGGTCATGAAAAATTTCATAAAAAGAGTGCGAATGTGCCAGCAAAGCGGTGGAGGCCATTTACCCGACATGCCTTACCACCACACATAACCCTATACCATGTACTTCAATCAATAAAAATAATACAATTTTCAATTATAAATCTGTGTTTTCTATCAAAATTACATCTTGCGTGAATTTTGGGATAACCTGTACTTATATGCTCCTATGTGTAACCTGTACTTATATGCTGTAATTATATGCTCCAGGCACTTTGCGGTGAGTTTTACATGAACAACGCATTTTTCTAAATACCCTATGGTCATCCAAATTAATAATATAAATGCGAAAGTAACTCTATCCGTCTGTTACGTTTTTACGCTTAAATCGGTAAACCAATTTTGATGAATTTTGGTATAGAGATAGACGGGACCTAGGAGAAGGATATAGGCTACTTTTGGTGAGAAAAATAAATCTTAAAGGAGGTGAAATAGAGGATGAAAGTTTGTATGGAAATTTTAAGGCGTTTGGATATTTTAAATACACAATAAATAAATGCTTAGAAAAACCTGTTTTCGACTTTTTCAAAACATTCTATAAAAGGGGTTAGGTAGAGTAACGAAGTATATTAAAAAAGATCATATTCCTTACATTTGCAAACTGGAATATTTTTAATTTGTGTTCTAGTAGATATATAATATATAAATAATTAAATAGTATATAATTAGTCAAATTCTGAATTTATTTATGTTGCTTGAAATTTTTATGGTATTTTAATTATTGATTTGTAATTATGTAATTATACGCGGACCAAGTCGCGGGCAATAACATTTTAGTATAGAATATAATAAATTTCCATGCGATATTCATTTTTATTATGGACTTAAATTGGGCGTTTACGTGATCATAGGAATAACTATTTCAATTCAATTCAATTCAATTCAATAATGTATTGCAAAACCATAATGTACATAATAAGATGTTACCAATGTAGTGAGACCAGTATTATGGGCCCTGTCGGGCACGCAACATAGGAGCTAGGAGAGGGGAAGCGCAATTTTATAGTAGTATTTTATATAAAGTAAGTATTCTATTCTTATTTATCATAGGTACTATATACTATATTATATTGTTATAAAATTTAATTTAAAAACAACCTTAATATTTATCATCATTTTGCGTGGCCTCTGAATGTATTATCTATTAAATATTCGCTAATAGTGTAATAACATTTTTCGGATAGAAATAGTTTTAATTTTTTTTATGAAAATGTTGTCATT